TTAAATCTTAGCAATGCAATAACTCTGAGAAATGCCAAACAATCTAGGCAATTCAGGGTGGGAGACAGGGTAGGGAATATCACATCTACTATGTTTACTAATGAAATTATAATTTCACTTTACACACTACGTGTGCTTGTGAAATTTCCAATTTCATGTCATAAACATAGTAGATGTGATATTGGTAGTTCAAAGCCCGGTAGTGTCAAGTATCTTTGACAAGCAGTTGCCACTGCTGATAGTATTTCTCAGATAGAAGGTTCTGAAAGTAGAGGCCTTGGTCCAGTTTCCCAACTTCAAAAATGTCTGTGACAGAAGCACCTTTGGCAAATGCCTTTGAAGCACTAGCTCCTCTGACAGAATGAGCTTTGTAGTGTGAAGTGTCAATACCCTCGCCATAAGATTTGTCACCAATCTTGCAATATTTGGGGATGAAACCGGTTTATGCGGTTTCACATAGCTCAAGAGAAGGCCAGACCTACATTCATCTCTCCAAGGTTCTGTGCGTTCTAAGTTCACTCTAAGGCATCGAACTACACAGAGTGCAGGGTCCTTCTCATAGTCACTGAAACTCAAGGGATGAGGTTTTGTTCCTGTCTTAGTCACCTTGGTTGGTTTAATCAGGGTAAATTCTACTTCAGTGCCCCTGTCTACCATGTGTCTGATATCCAGGGAAGATAACTCTGAAGACCTGCTAGCAGAGGTTAGCATCAGAAGCATTGTCAACTTCCCAGACAAGTTTTTATCCGACAAATATATATTATCTTTCAATTTTTTCAAATATTGCAGCACTAAATCTACATCCCAGGCCACTGGAGTATCTGGGCTGAGGAGGATTCTGATTAAAAATCCCTGACATTAATTTCCTGACCAGTGGGTGCTGACCCACATTATAGCCCTCGATAGTGGGGTGAAAAGCAGACAAAGCTGATCTAGCTGTATTTATGGTCCTGTACTGACTATTCTCGTGGTACAAGTGAGTGAGAAAGTCTAAGATAGACTCCACAGAGGCTGAAAAGGGATCAAAACCCCGTTGATTGCACCAGCCAGTCCACCTATTCCAGGAAGCATTGTAAAAGCCTTTGTGTGCCAGGTCGCCATTGGCAGGAGAGCAGCTGTGTAGTCGCCTCTGAAATTCCTCTGGTCTTGATGCTACGCCTGAAACCTCCATGCTGCTAACACCAGAGTGTTGTTTCTATCAGTGGATGAGGCAGGTTTTATGGGGGTTTAACAGATCCCTCATCTGTGGGAGGAGGATTGGCTTTGTGGACCGCCATCTCCAAGAGGTGGATACCAGGACTGACCTTGCCACACTGGAGTTATTAAGACCAGCTCCGCTTTGTCCTTTCGGATCTTCCACAGACACCTGCCTATCAGTGAGAACGGGGGAAAGGCATAAGGAATCCCCTGGTTCCAATTCACTAGAAACGCATCTGTTGATTGTGCAAGGGGGTCTGGCCTCCAGCTGCAGAACGGCTTCATTTGGAAAGTCAGTCTCGATGCAAAAAGGTCCATTGAGAAGGGACCCAGTATCTGGTTGCATTGAGCAAAGATGATTGGATTGAGCATCCAATCGCTCGAGTCGTTGAAGTGGCGAGACTCCCAGTCCGCATGAATGTTCTCTACCCCTGGCAGATAGACTGCTGTTAAGAACAGACGGTTCTGGAGACAGAAACCCCATATCTGCTTTGTGATCTGCAACAGACTGACTGATTTTGTCCCCCCAAATCGGTTCACATAAGCCATGGCTGTCTGATTGTCCACTTGGACCAAAATAGATTGATCTTTGATCCCCTTTGCAAAAAGGTCAAGAGTGCCAGATGAATTGCCTTCAGCTCTAGAACATTTATGTGCATACTCTGCTCTATCTCTGACCAGCGGCCTCCTGTTGATCTCTGGCCGTGTATTGCTCCCCATCCCTTTTTTGATGCATCTGTCTGGAGAATTACATCTGGATGAGCTGCCATGATTGGCTTCCCGTTGAAATTGGTGAGGTTGGTCATCCACCACTTCAGTTCCTCCAGACAAACCGAAGGCAGTGTAATCATTGACTCGTAACTCTGAGAACGCAAAGCTCCCTGCTCGAATGCATCTGCAGGTAACGACAATGCAGTTGAGCGGGTAAGATTGCTCTCATTGAAGCTGACAGTTTTCCTATCAAACTTGCCAGTTGTCGAATCCTTACCTGTTTCTTTCTCATCATGTGACGACAGGTTGCTACAATGTTCTCTACCTTCTCCTCTGGTAAGATCAGAGTACGATCCACCGTGTTTATCTGAAACCCCAGGAAAGTGATCGACTGGGTTGGTGACAGAACTGATTTCTTCCAGTTTATGACAAAGCCTAGGGACTGGAGGAGAAAGATGAGGGTGTCCCTGTGTTGACTCAGCAGGGTCGGCGATTCCGCCTATACACAAGATATCGTCCAGGTATATAATCAAGCGGATGCCTGCTCGCCCGTGCCAAACTTACCACTGGGCTAAGAAGTTTTGTGAATGCTCTTGGAGCTGGGGCAAGTCCAAATGGCATGCATCGGAACTGATACAGAACACCCTTCCAAGAGAAGCGGAGTAGCTTTTTCATGTGGGGTGCCATTGGGACGCTGAAGTAAGCATCCTTCAGATCCAGCTTGCAAAGGTAGTCCCCTTTGCGGATCAAGTCCCTTAGAAGGTGTAGTCCTTCCAACTTGAAGTGTTTGTAAGGAATGTGAGCATTGAGGGCCTTGAGATTTATGATTGGCCTCTGCCCTCCATCCTTCTTGGGAACCATGAACATAGGACTTAGAAACTGATCCGAGTCCATCGAAGCAGACTGGGGAACAACCTCTATCACATGTTTGCAAAGCATTGATTGGATCTCCTGGCTCAAGGCTAACTGTCTTGTGAGCTTTAGTTTTGGTTGAAACACGCGATTCTGAATTGGTTTTGACAACAGAGGAATCTCGAAACCCGAAACTGTCTGAAGTATCCAAGGATCTGAAGTGATCTTTTGCCAGTTTTTTAAAAAGTGTACCAGACGACCCCCTATGAGGGATTCCTTGTAAAACAGAAGATCCAGGTTTAGCTCTAGAATTGCTGGGATAACCTGTAGATGTGGCATTGGGGAAGGAGGAGCATTGTGGGAACAGGCGTTGCTGACATTTGACCCACCTGATATAAGAGAGTCTGCGATTCCGACCGGACTGACCGGCTCTTCCTCTGCCTCTGGAAGAGTTGCCTCTGAAACCTCTGTTGAAGGAGGGCTTGATGTGGAATGTGCCCCCAGTAGACTGTCTTCCTCCTGAGGGCATTCTCTGAAAGGGCTGTCTATCAGGGTGACTGGGCCCTTGGTGTCTGAAAGTAGGTCTGCGAGCTGAACGTCTCTCAGCATCAAATATCAATTTGGCTTTGGTCTTACGTTTTACCTCCTTCAGCATGACGTCATAAAAGGCATCTCCGAAGAGTCTGCCCTTAGCCTCTGACAAAGCTGTGTCATGCTTGAGAATGAGACGTTTAGCCTTCTTGACATCCTTAGAAAGTTTAGCCAGAATGTTTAGCCTTCTGTTGTAATTCATGGAGACAGTAGCCTGACCGATAAGACAGGTGGTTTTCTCTACCAATTCCAACAGCTCAAAGATGTCTAAATCGGCGGGGGATTCACCTCTGCGGATCTTATCAAGGTTATGCCACAGGTGACATAGAGGCCCCATGGAATTCAGAATCCGCTTTTGAATAAATTGAAGGGATTGGTCAAACTTTTTCTCGAACGACTTTCCCTTAGCCTCAAAGAGGTCGTCCAGATATGGATTCAGAGAAGGAGTCTGAAGACATTCCTCTGAAGGGACAGGGAGATCCTCTAGAATATTTTCTTCTAGTTTGGAATCCTGGCAGAAGACAGAGAAATTTCTCTGAGTCTGTTTTGACAGAGTATGCGGGAGACACCATTCTGATGGGTCTTTGGCATCAGCTAACGAGAAGGGGACGTAATCATCGAAAGTCTCTATTGTTCCTGTTTTATTGATTACCGGTTTTGACGGAACGACCCCTTTATCCCCACGTTGATTCGTAGCAGACTCAACGTAAGATTCGTCCGAGCTTACATCGCTCGAGGGGGAAGATTCTGATCCTGAATCTGACTCAAAGTCAGAAGCAGAAGCCACCCGCGCAAATTCGAGCACGTTTATTGCTGACTAGAGTGGCTATCCAACCCCAAGTCTCGCTTGTTGCCCGACCCCGATGGTTGGGGTTGATGGGACTTGCCCAAACCATCCACGTGGTTTTTCGACATATCATCGGTTGCAGATGTATGCGCCTCTACGGGCACATTTTTCTGCTTAGGTATACCATCTAGGTCCTGTATGGACCCTTTGATGGAAGAAAAGTTATTCATACCAATCTATGCAAGTGAAAACGATCAAAACTTACGGAATGGCCGGCTCACGTGTCTATCTACATTGAGGCCATGATGAAGAAGGGTTTATGGGTAATTTGCCTCGCGAGATCTCGCACAGCGAGACTTCGCTAGCTTTAAATATGGCCTACTTCCGGATAACATGATGAAGATACCAATATCACATCTACTATGTTTATGACATGAAATCTAGTTTGGTTACACAACCCTCGGTGGATACTTTTCAACTGGTTACCTAACCAAAATTACCTCATAAAGATATTCAGAACACGTGTGTGATAAATAATATATTTGAAGGTTCCAATTTCTCTCCAAGAAAAGTGATATAGATTAATCTGAGTCAAATACGATGACGACAAGGAGCTGTGACATTCTGAAACGTACTTTTATCCCTTCATTTATTCATCAGCATTTAGAAATGTATCTTCCGTTTCAGACAGAAAGGATAAGATAAGGCAAAAGTAATGCCTCATTTAACGTAACAGTGTCAAAATGGGCAGCGCGTCATGGCAACATTTTGCCCCTGCTGACATAGATGATGACATCACCAACGTTGTTTTCCTTTTCTCTTTGGCGTTTCAGAAAAAGAATAATTGGAGATGATACAGAGAGTTCACCAGCTGTATATTTGAAGAGAAACATCGACACTAGAAGAAAACAAAGACAGCCAGAAGGGAAGTGACCCGATTTCAAGGAACAGTGAAGTCGGGCAGATGTCTGGATTCGATGATCGAAGGGGAACTAACCCCAATTTTGGTTTCTCGACAATGTCGGAAGAATACCGGCAGGACAAAGAAGAATTAACTGCCCGTTACCGAGATATACTTAACTCGACCCAGGGCGTTGGTAAGTGTAGTGTAACACAATATTAATGTTGAGTCTTGTGTTTCCTTGCATTTTGGCTGTTTAAAGATGCATGTACTCACCAATATTCCATGTATATGACAGCGGCCTGTACATTTTCATGGCTTTCTTAGAGAGTCCAGTGACTGAAATACGGTCCACAGTAGCTCAGGCCTGACTGCACGCGATTCAAACAGTGTGTCAAAACATACAGTGTCAAAACATCAACGGATCCTGGACTTCATAATATTAGTTATTTTACAGTTTTGCCTTTGTATTATTTTGAGGATTTTGGAAAAGTTGTTGGTGAGAGCAACACTTATTCCGTGTCCAGTTGTGAGGTGATGTAACGTGAATATAACTGACTCTTCAACAGGCCAGTAATGTTACTCCTAAATTAACGGACCCTAAAAGAACGGATAAATCCTGGACAGTGGTTTATATCTTGGCTTTGTTGCACTTTTCACGCCCTACTTTCACCATTATTGCCAAGGATTTAAGTTCCAACTGGTCATATTGTTAATTTGTCACACGACTCATACGAGACTCCTGCAAAATCATGCATTTCACAATCCTTTCGCATAAGTCGTACGACACACTTGCTCGTGTAATGATCTCTATGTAGAGACTCACCAATCTCACTTTTGTATTGATACCATGCATATTTGCTTGAAGATTTGACACACCAACATGTTGAATGTCTTTATTTTATCACCCTTTCTGACATTTTGTTTCTGACATTATATGACATTAAGCATATCTCCCATCATCCCGTTAGTTGTAGGTGACGTGTTCATTGTTGTCGTTATCGTTAGAATCCTCTGGACCACTGAATCTGAAACTTTACAATCTTCTTATAAACAATTGACACCCGTAATTATTGAAGATGTTCGAATCATGTATGACTGTCACATCAAAGATTTTGATACATCTAGTCACAACCTGCATGTTTCGTCCAATTTATAACACTATAGTTTTACTGACATAGCTGAACTTTGATCCGAGCATGTATTAGTTCTCATTGTGACCTGAATTCAGGGGAGCGTGAAGTCAAGCAGTTGCCTGGTGTCGATGCTCTAAAGGGAAGTGACCCGAATTCAGGGAAGCGTGAAGTCAAGCAGTTGTCTGGTGTTGATGCTCCAAAGGGAAGTGACCCGAGTTCAGAGAAGCGTGAAGTCGATCAGTTGTCTGGAGTCGATGCTCCAAAGGGAGGTGACTCGAATTCAGGGGACAGTGAAGGTGAGCAGTTGTCTGGAGTCGATGCTCCAAAGGGAAGTGACCCGAGTTCAGGGAAGAGTGAAGTCGAGCAGTTGTCTGGAGTCGATGCTCCAAAGGGAAGTGACCCGAGTTCAGGGAAGCGTGAAGTCGGGCAGTTGTCTGGAGTCGATGCTCCAAAGGGAAGTGACCCGAATTCAGGGGACAGTGAAGGCGGGCAGTTGTCTGGAGTCGATGCTCCAAAGGGAAGTGACCCGAATTCAGGGAAGAGTGAAGTCGGGCAGTTGTCTGGAGTCGATGCTCCAAAGGGAAGTGACCCAAACTCGGCTCAGGGCGTTGGTAAGTGAAGTGTATCACCATATTTATATAAAGTCTTGGGTTTGCGTGCATTATGGTTGTTTAAAGATGTACTCACCAATATTCGAGGTATATGACAGCGGCCTGTAAATTTTCATGGCTTTCTTAGACAGTCCAGTGACTGAAATACGGTCCACAGTAGTTCAGGCCTGACGTCATGCGATTCAAACAGTGTGTCAAAACATACAGTGTCAAAACATCAACGGATCCTGGACTTCATAATATTAGTTATTTTACAGTTTTGCCTTTGTATGTATGTATGTATGTATGTATGTATGTATGTGTGTGTGTGTGTGTGTGTGTGTGTGTGTGTGTATGTATGTATGTATATGTGTGTGTGTGCGCGCGTGCGTGCGTGTGTGTGTGTGTGTGTGTGTGTGTGTGTGTGTGTGAGAGAGTGAGTTAAAATTTACAGTCACATAGGCAATGTGTCAGCCATATCGTGACTAAAACAAGTTGTATATTCACCATAAATACATGTAAATTATAAAACCTGTCAAGCCTTTATCTCTCTAAAATTGGATTTCAAATTCAGACAAGACAGTAAAAAAATAGGCTATAGATCGCCAACAACTGAAGGTAGATCACTATACTTGGGACCATGGGGACTTACAGTACATTTGCTTCCTGCCCTAGCTGGATTTACACCATCCCTTAAGCTGTTGGCGATTTAGATACATCTAGCCATGCATTAAAACAACAAAAATATTACGATTTAAAACTGTGGTACGTTTTAATTTACTTTGAATGTTTTGGGACTTACATACTCTCTGAGGAGGACAATAATTTTACAGTACTTTAACCCCCCTCGAGGATACAGCCACTAACAATCTGAGTTACTAATTCAAACTTCCAATCATAAAATATGTATCTATTTACAAATCATTTTAACAAATCTAATTCTTTTAAAAATGCAATAATTAAGTGAGAACTGACATTATTAATAATATCCTTCATAGTTCTTGATTTGAAATAGGTATCCCTTGTTATGGAATATTCAACACAGTCAAGCAGGACATGCTTGACTGTGATTCTGTCATCACAAGGGATGCAAGACGGAGGATCCTCACCTTTCCATAGATATTCATGAGTGTATCTCGTGTGGCCAATACGGCATCGTCGCATGATGACCTCTTCAAACCTGGAATGACAACCCAAGTAGGTGTAACCAATATAGGGTTTTATTGCATGTAATTAATGTATACCTACTTGGGTGTCCTACTTCTTCTGCATCAGATCACGGATGTAGGTTCTAATACTAGCTTTGTTATCAGAGTATGGGATAAGAAGTGGTGTCACAGATTTGTTGAGTGCTGCCTGCAGAAAGATCAGCCATTGTGTATTACCAGAAATGCCAACGTGGCTGGGTAACCAGCAGAAGACGATGTCGCATTGGCCAGTAGCAAGATCATTATGCAATTCAATAATTTCTAATTAAAAGTGGATGTTTGCAAGAAAGATTTTGAATAGCCTGAAGGCAGAAAGAGATCTGAAAAGATGATATATTGTTTATATTTAGGGTGTTTATTAATATATTTAAGGGCTGTTAATATGGCGTTAGCTTCTGCTGTGAAAATAGAGCCATTATCAGGTAATCGAGAAGATATTGTTCTGATCCAATGACAGTGGCACAAGCTACTGCGCCATCATCCTTGGATCCATCTGTAAATAAGGATTTGTATGTATTATATTTACTTTTTAATTGATTATATTCTTGTTTATATTGTAATTCATTGGTTTTGATTTTTAAACTTTGTCAATGTTAGGTCAACTTGTGGCCTCACCAATTGCCAAGGAGGAGAAGAAAGAAGACGTGAAGGATATATATTCTCCAACTCAATGCCAGCAGCAGAGAAATATATTGTTGGATTCTTATCCCAAGAGGTGGAACAAATGAAGATTTTTTATTATACAAATCCTCATAAAGAGGATTAAAAAACGCAGTTGTGAGCAGGGCTAGACTTGATTTGTAATAGATTGTAAAGATAATTTTATACGGCGAAGTTTTAAGATGGTTCATCAGCCTCAACGTAGAGACTGTCAATAGGAGAGGTTCTAAAGGACCCAAGACAAAGTCTTAGACCTTGGTGGTGGACAGAATCTAATAGTTTTAAGTTACTTTTGCAGGCTCCACCATAAACGATCGAACCATAATCAAGTTTAGAACGAATTAGTGCTCTATACAAGTGAAGGAGGGTCGACTGATCACCACCCCACTTAGCATTGGAGACGACTTTAAATAGATCTAATGCCTTCAGGCATTTTGCCTTAAGATATTTAATATGAGGTAAAAACGTAAAATGATGGTTAAATATGATACCAAAAAGTTAGCTTCCTTAACTACTTTAATGGGAGTACCCGATAGATGTAAGTCTGGGTCCCTGTGGTTTATATTTACGACAGAAATGTATGCAGTTAGTGTTAGATTTAAGAAACTTAAAGCCATTTCGTTCGGTCCAATCACTAATTTTATTGAGACAGAGCTGCAACTGTCTCTCAATCGTGTGCATATTTTTACCCCGACATGATACATTAAAATCATCAACAAATAATGACTCAACAGAGACATTTAACACTTTCGATAAACTATTTATTTCGAAACTGAACAACGTTACTGATAATATGCTGCCTTGTGGAATACACCTTGATCTTGTTCATAAAATTCAGACAAGGTGGAACCCACACGCACCTGGAAATGTCGATCTGTTAATAACTGTGATATGAAATTAGGCAAACGGCATCCTTTCGAAATTCCATGTTTCCAGGTTGTATCATATGTTTTTTCGAGATAAAAATATATAGATACAGCATGTTGTTTATTAACGATAGCATTCTTAACAAACGTTTCCAATCTAACTAAATAGTCAATGGTACTTCTGTTTTTCCTAAGCCCACACTTGATATTCGTAATAAGATTATTTGTTTCTAAGTACCATATTAGTCTGTTATTGACCATTCTTTCCATGGTCTTGCAGCACAACTAGTAAGCGATATTGGCCTATAGTTGGAAGGATCAGTATGATCACGGCCTGGTTTTGGAATTGGAATAATGACAGCATTCCGCCACGATGAAGGAAAATTACCCGTTGTCCATATTTGATCAAAAATATTTAACAGGGTCTCTAAACAGGAATCAGGTAAATGTTTAAGTAACTGATAATGAATACTATCAGCACCCGTAGCAGTATCATGAGCTTGCCCTAAGGCAGTTGTAGCTCTAATGAATGGAGAAAACCTCATTGTAGTCCTCACCATTATCAGACGCAAAATTGATTTTAATTTTTTCAGCTTGTTGTTTAAAGTTTTGAAATTTGGTGTATAATTTGATGAGGAGGAATGTTGAGCCAAAAGTTTCTCCTTAATTTATTAGCTATGTCAGATTGATCAGTTAGTATAGTGTTCCCATTCTTAAGATGATGAACACCAGATTTTGATCCTTTACCTTTTATCCTTTGCACCATATTCCAGATTTTGGACATAGGTGTTCGTGAATTAATTTTTGAAACATAGTTTCGCCAAGATTGACGTTTATTTTGCTTGAAGGTACGACGTACCTTCGCATTTAGTATTTTAAATTTATTTAAGTTATGGACAGTTGGGTGATGGCGGAAATATTTCTCTGCCTTTTTCTCGCTTTTCTAGCATGTTTACAGTCTGCATTAAACCATGGCTGCCGTACATGTGGAGTTGTAGAAGACTTTGGTATGCATTCATCAGCTATTACATTTAAAACGTCAGAAAATACCTGAATAGGATCAACAACATCACTGAAACATTCGGGTCTTAGTTTAGATGTGCATAAAGTTTGAAAGAAGGACCAGTCTGCCTTTGGAAAAGTTCCATCTTGTGTAAGATGGAGAATCAGTTGGATACATTTCTGATAATATCGTTGGAAAGTGATCACTTCCACAGAGGTCATTGTGGACTGACCAATCAAATTCATTAAGTAGATTAGAGTCTGCAAGAGACAAATCCAGAGAAGAGTAGGTGCCGGTTGCAGGATGCAGATACGTGCTCGAATCATCATTGTATATACACAAATCATTATTGGAGATAAAATCTTTCAGTGTTTTACCTTTAGTGTTAGTATCTGTTCCACCCAAGAGGGGATTATGGCCATTGAGATCATCCATTATAATGCAGGGTTTCGGAAGTTGATCATAGAGAGCTTGAAGATCAGACAATTGAAGTGTTAAATAACTAATTGAAGGCGAAATATACAACGAGCATATTGTGAAGGCAACATGAAGAGTAAGTCTCACTGCAACGGCTTGAAGATTAGTTGTAAGTGTGACAGGGCTGTGAATAACATTCTGCTTAACAAGGATTGAAGATCCGCCAGTGGCCCTATCACCCGGAGGTGAGAAATAATAATATGCTTCGAACTGACGTAGATTAAAAGTATCTGTCTGTTTCAGATAAGTTTCCTGCAGACAGAATTCGGATAGTGCCAGATTCTGGACTAATACCTGTAACTCATTAAAATTAGACCTTTATCCTCTACAATTCCACTGTACTATAGTTTTGGAATACATTATCTTTTTGGTGGGTTGATTGGGGATCTACCCCGCACTTTTGCTTTGAGGGCGACAAGCTATGTGCCCTGGGATGGATGTCAGACACGTCCATATCCTCCATTGATCCAAACTTTATTAAACAATTTTATCTTATCATCTGACCCTTTAGGAGCTCGATTTGGTTTCGAAGGTTCTGTTCTTGTTTTGGTTTTCGATTTTACAGTTTGTTTTTCATTCTTCCTTTCACACTGAGATCGAGACTGAGGAGGAGTAGAAGATACGTTTTGCTGCGTAGAAGGTGGTGTTGTCTGAGTGGACTGTTCAGGAAAGATATATTTGGGATGATCTGTATTCACCCATGTCAAGTCAGTCTGACATGAGTTTGATGAAGTAATTACTGGTGAAGTGGGTTCCTTTGAGGACGTTTCAGGGAGTTTTGGTGATGGAGGCGTAAGTTTCCAGTGAGTTCAGTG